ACTCTACCTTTCCATATAAAATGAGAAAAAGATAAGCTAGTTTAAGTCAAATTTAGGGGTGACCCTTTATCTTTACTTTCCTTTATAATAAAGCATAAAGATAAATGAATCCGTTATCTTTATTTTCTAAAGATAAATGATCCTTTATTTAAAAAAAATAAATGATACCCTTTTTCTCCAATCATTTATCTTTAGAAAATAAAGGTAAAGGAATCATTTATCTTTAGAAAATAAGGATAAAGGATCCATTTATCATTATTTTTTAAAGTAACACTAAATGACCACCCCTAGTCAAATTCATGCCATTTTTTAAACAATGAATAAAAGTGTTTTTTTTTCGGTGCAGTTAACCGATCTTTCAATGAAGATCTAATTTTTACAATACATCTTTAAAAAAATAAGTTTGTATTTTCAAATTCCGCAATGTGTAAGCTACAAAATGAGATAAAAATCAACATGTTTGTGTATAGTATCAATGAATCACAAGGCGATTAATGAAATGTATGATCTTTCAAGATAGTCGAAATCCTTATTTATTCAGTTGTAATTCGATCTTATACTCTTCTCGCTATAGTCATTGTCAAGTACCCATGTAGCCGATCACCCAAATAGTGATTATAATTACATGATAATGCAACCTATTTCATGCATTTTAATGCATTATATGGGGTGTGGGTGTGGGTGTGGGTGGGTGTGGGTGTGGGGTGTGGGTGTGGGTGTGAATGTGGGTGTGGGTGGGTGTGGGTCTGGGTGGGTGTGGGTATTGTTCCTTCAGACACCCACATCCCACACCCACACCTACACCCACACCCACACCCCACACCCACACCCACACCCCACACCCACACCCACACCCACACCTACACCCACACCCACACCCCACACCCACACCCACACCCTCAACTATTGACAAATGTGTAGAGAATATTCAAACATCTCTTAGAAAATTGGAATGATTAAAAGCAGAGAAATTATCTTTATGAACACATTAGTATTACGAACATGTTTATTTGTTTGTACGTTGTCGTATTTCGCCTGGCTTTTTCTCCAATTTTCTTTTCTACTAATAATTTATCAACAAAATATTGAAGATGGAAGTTTCAAATTATAATGAGATTGATGCATTAGTGTCTCTATGTTTAAAAAAAAGAATTTGTTCTTGATGATAAATGGAGAATCATTCGACTTTTATCCTAAAAAATATATAGAAAATAGATTGAAACAAATCCATAAGTCTGATCTAGAATGTTTTTTTTTGGAACTATTTCAATAAAATTCAAAGAGATAACCTTGGCTTATTTCTTTCGTATGGGAAGAGTAAAAATATTAAATGAGAGACATGCAGTCTCTGTAATTGAATTGATTTTGTTAACTAAATTCTTCAATTTTTCTTCTTGATGTTGTTTCGAATGTCACATTGTAGCCTAGTATCATATCGATCAGATTTTGCTCATATTACTTAGAGCAAAATCTCAAAAAATAATTGAGATGGGTGCTATTTAGTAGCCATCTATGATTGCTTATAAAATACATGAAATTTTCTTAACACTATGCCAATGATTTCTGATATTTATATGACTTGATGTTATCTTGTTGACGGGTGAAATTGTCATTTATTTTTAGATTATGCTCGTAGAAGACCAATTTTAATATAATTTTCATATGATCAAATAAAAATGCAAAAACGTAAGACGATTTTTAGATACATCTAATGGCATGATAATACTTTTTCAATACTTACCCTTTTTGGTTTATAACCTTCTGTGTTTGTTTGTAACATAAACATATTCTAATGAGAAATTTGTTTTATCAATGAATAGAATTGCTATTCATCAATGAGATAAAAAAAAAACAAATTGATCATTAACAAAAAAATGATAATGTTTACAACATTGACAATTGGTTACGGAAAATTTTGTTTATTTTTAAACTAAAGTTACACGATTTGGTCTCAGTTTGTCGAAAGCTTAATTGACTTTTCTGTTTGGTTCAATTTTTTTAAACATACGACTCAAAGATGGATGTGAATGTGAGATGTAATACTCATACCGACACCCACATCCATTATCATATCAAGTACGAAACATCAATATTTCAATGTACTAAAATTTCAATCAAAAAACAAACAAATGACATTAGAACAAGATATGAGTCAGATGGCTATTATCTCTGTTGAATATTTACGTTTGTTTTTTGAATCGCTAACTTGTCATTTTTCTCTCTTCGGAATAAGAAACAAAATTATTATTTAACAATTTTCTTCATAAGAGCATCTAGTACGTTTAAGAAAGTAACTGTATGTATGCAAAAGGTGACTAAAATTTATATGTTGAATTCGATGCATTGTTTAATGAGAACAATTTGTGACTAATTGACCGAGACAAAATGTCCTGTAACTTATTAATGTAGCAGCTGTGTTTTGTCTATCGTTGACTTAATATATAAATATGTTGCACTATCGCATTCTCTTCATTTATCACATTCGCGATCATAAGATATGAATAATCTATGTTCACCTACATTGTTCGAACATTTGTCTGTCGAACTCATTCTTTTAATTTTCGAATATCTTTCTCCACTTGATCTACTCAATGGATTCGAAGAACTTAATAGTCGATTTTTATCCATCATCAAACAACATCCTCTTTCATTGCCTAATAATCGACGCATGAATATCGATATCTATGATGATTATATTACATATGTTCTACGTGAATATTCATCACAAATAATTTATCTTCATTTGTCTGAACATCGTACTCCTCATGCAGTTGAGTCATTTATTTTTGAATCATATAATCAAAAATTCTTCTTTCCAAATTTAACAGCAATAACTATCAGAGATGTACCTGTAAATATCTATTGTTCATTGATGAACAATTTTTTACCATCATTTAATCTAAAATCACTTTCAATCAATTTGAATAACGATCTTTATCATTATAAAGATTACGCTACATGGACCGACGTGGATTTTGTTATACCAATACTAAATTCTCATTCACAATTGTGTTCATTCTACTTGCGAATTTTACCACAATATGACAAGAATTATATGAATGATCTTAAGAATATATCTTCTCATATCAATACTCATTGGCATTTACATACATTATCGATTGATCAATGTTCGTGCGTATTGTTGATGGAATTACTCGGCAATAATCATCTACCAAAATTACGTAATTTGCATATCATATTTCCTTAGTATGTATAGATTGAATCATATCTATAGTTGAAAATCATTTTGTTTTTCAAGTTAAAAAAAAAACAATTTTTGATTTTTCGTTACAAAATCATATAACTATATATACACTTTAGTGACCATGGTCGTGAACATCTTTTTATAATTCAATCTCATCAAACACCATTGAATCGAACTTGTGTACCTGAATTACGTCGTATTAAAATTAGACTTTCTGCATATGTTCAAAGAATATTATTCTATTTCAAAGATCTCTATAGTTTCGAACAACTTGAACAATTTACAATACGTGGTCGTGTGAATTTTAGTGAAAATGCTGACCTTCCGACTGCATATAGTCTACAACAATGGTTAACTATGTCAAAAATAAAACGATGCAATGTTCGATTAGATTTTTCAGTGGTCTATAATAATCAAGACGATAAGGAACATTTAAATGATTTGTTTACTGATTATATTAAAATATTTGGTCCTCGTTCCTGTGATTTAAAACGTAATATTGCTATACGTTATCCGATTAATGTCGAATTATTACGAAATGATAGTAAGGATGAAAGTGAAGAAAATGGCGATGATGATTATTCAATGATTGCTACGAATGATGAGGTAAGAAAATAAAATCGAATTGTATTCTCTGATCCTTCGAAATTGGTCTAAAATGTGCAAATTCATGTAAAGAAAAAGTTGAGTTTTTAAAATTGAAACATTTTATGTTCCTCGAAAGATGATCACTTTCATTATATTCAATGTCTTTGATTCTAGTTGGAAATTGAAGACTCGGATCATTTGAAAGATAAGTGGATACAAACTATACATAATGTGTCTCGCTGGAACAATCTTCGAAAAATATCCATTTTGGGTGATTGTACAACAGATTCGTAAGTAAAGATTTTTTTTTATTAAGTTTTCTTCGGTATGTGATCTGATCGTTGAATAGAATAAGCAACTAAATTTAAAATAAATTGAAAAATAGTCGAATCAACAGATACATTGAAGTCAGATTCATGGTTTCGAATTAAAAAAATTTGTCGAAAAGACTTCTACTTTTGCAAAATCATGTAAAAAAACTTTTGAAAATATCTGGTCAACGAAGAGTGTGATGTGGATGTTAGTCTTCCCTTCCTCAAAATGAATTTTGTTTTTTTTTGTATTTCGTGATAGAAATCAAATCAGTCTTAATTTGCCAATTCTACTTTATATTGCTCAACGAGCACCACGTTTCTGCGAACTGGAAATTCAGGCAACACGTGCATTTGGTCTTGCTCTTTCGTTTAACATTGAACTTTGTACATATCTCGCCGATCACCTCGAAGTACTTCGTTTCACTAGTGAAGATAGAACAAGTTCTTTTCTTGAATTGGTTCAAATTGTTGATACAATTTATTCTTATTCATCATCATCATCATCACTAAAAAAATTGACAATCTTCGTCGATTCTGATCCAGCATCATGGCTTACATTGAATCATTTTCAAAATGGACTTCAACTCGTATTCAATCGTTTTCCAACATTGATTCATTTTACATTGTATTGTTCTCAGATAGAATTATTCAAAAATACTATCTACGATTTGACTGAATTAGCATCTGAATGGTATAAAGGAATGGACTGTCCTCGATCATGGAGTTGGAGATCTAAATCACATATATTTGATATTTGGTTCTAGATGAATTTCTTGTTTATCAATTAATAAAAAGATATATAATCATTTAAATTTACTTTTTTCAGAAGAGAATACTAACAGTCACTAAAATTAGTCTATGCTGTGACGAGTGGCGTTTTCAAATTTCTTTTTTTTTATTCTTCAATCGTCACTAGTTCAGTTAATGGGTGTCATATTTATTCTGTGTAGTAGATGAAAGTAGTCACTTATCTTCATCGAGAAATGCGACTAAGATGTGAACGAATCCAATTAGATTATTTCAAATTGTATTTAAAGGTCAAGAACGTTCATTTTCTTCATTACAGACTCTTAAAAACAGAAAATATAAATTTTAAAAGTCACAGTATCGAATATTACATTTGCTTGCTTTAAAGAGATATTGACTGAAGGAAAAACGAAACCCAAATTTCTCACTTGCTTCAATAACAATAAATCATTTTTCTCGCAAAAAATTTAATCCAAGCAGAAATATATCGACATTTGCTGCGAACTCTAACTCAGTGAAAAGTATTTTGAAAAAAACCGGCTCAAAATGGTCTCATAAAAATATGGAAACTTTTTTTCTATGTAAAGAATGCATTCATGTTCAAGAAGAAACAATCTCAATCTGAAGGAACTCGTTCTTTTCCGTTACACAATAAGACGAAATGCTTTCTTTCCTATTAAGAAATCATTCTCTATTATAAAGGAAAGCATTCCAAACCATTCTTAAACCAGTAGAATCCATCCTAGATCATTCTTTTTCGAAACAACATAGATATCATTCCATCGAAATAAGATCGCTTTCTTTTGCGTTTTCTAGAGAAGCATTAATATAATGAATTCTTCTAAGTGATGAATACTTTCTTTTGGAATTAAAGTACATTTCGATTCAAAAATCAAAGATCTGAATCAAAGCAGATTGAACCTGATGTGAGAAAAAGTGGAACCTTCAGCTAGTTATTCTTTGTGGATGCCACTTATAATTTCGAAATAGCATTATTTTAATAATGGTTTCAGTTACAACGATTTGGAGCACGCCATTCGATCGAGCTCGTCGAGTTATCCCGGAAATGTTTTTTTGATAAATTAAAGGTCTATCCATTAACGATTAGCCATATGATCAAGAAAGTTGCCTTCTCTCAAGAAGAGAAAGCATTCCAAAAATGGGGTAAAGTATCTCAAAAGTGATAGAATACTTTTTTGATCGTTCCGTTTTTGGAAAGACTAATAGCGCTTTTCAAAAATGAAAGAATGCGTTCCTGACCGTTCCATTTTGGAATGTTTTTTATTTTTTTCGGAACGTTTTCTTTTCCTAAAAAAAGGGCTTTCCATTTTTTGAAACGCGTTCTCAACCGTTATTTTATTCAAATATTTTTCACTGGGAAGTTTAAGAATTTTAGTTGTTATCTTGTTCAAAGACATTTTTTTTGTTTTTTTTTGGCATTAACTTGAATTGAGTGTTCAATTCAGGATGTTTTTGGTAATGTTCAATTGATGAAAAAAAAATATGAGCAAGAGAGTATAAATATCGAGTCGTCTTAATTCATAGCAGAAGCGCGAGAATAAAATAGGATTAAATCATTGAAATTGATTTCAAGTGAATCGATATTAGTGAAATGTATATAAAATGAATCAATTTCATCGAATCTTATATCGATTTTCATAATCGAAACTTTCTTGATGATTGATAAATAGATGCAAGTTATTATTCCACTGGAAAAGAGTCTTATCTAGGCCGGATAATGTAACAGACTTTTACATTGTTAAAAAAGGATCCATTTGATGATGATGAATAGTCATCGAACAATTTTAAAACTTGTAATATAATCAAATGATTTAGAATTTCCACGTTTTCAAATCAAAAAATTATTTTGAAACGATACAAATTCATTTATGTAAATAATAATATTTAAGAAATAAAAGTGTTTACTTCATGAATGTTCAATCATACTTTCAAATATTTCAAATTTGGAAAATATTTTAAAATAGAAAACGATTTATTCTCTAATGTCTTGATTTCAAAATTGAGAACACTTTGTTTGAGTGTTTTCAACGAGAAAAATTGTTTCAAAATATTTAATTATTGTTTGCTTGTAAAGGTCACAATTTTGATCGAAATTGTATGAATCAATGTCTTGGATAATGAATAAAACACTGTCATAACTTGTTACTAGTGGATGTCCTTGTTATCTATATGTAAATCAATTAAACGAAGTTGTTTAAATTGATTGAATAATGGAGCAAAAAAGAAAGTATCTTATCGATATAGACTTGGAAGAATACTCATACAAATACGAAAATCATTCTTATTAATGCTTATAAAACCAAAACGCAGATTTTGACATTGAGCAATGAGAACATCAAGTCGTCTATTGAGTTAACTGGTGAATGCGACAAGTAGATAGACACCATTGATATATATATCGAAAGTATCATTTGTTTTATGACGTAATGTATGGTTGCGGGTGTGGGTGTGGGTATGGGTGTGGGTGTGGGTGTGTGGGTGTGGGTGCGGGTGTGGGTGTGGGTGTGGGTGTGGGTGTGTGGGTGTGGGTATGGGTGAGGGTGTGGGTGTGGTTGTGTATCTTATTCACATCATACTACACCCCAACCCAAGGGGGAAAGTGCAGGTTCCAAGCACCAAATTATGGCCGATGGTGCTGAGAAGATGCTGAAGTGCTGAAAAGGTGCTGAGGTGCTGAGAAGGTGCTGAGGTGCTGAGAAGATGCTGAGAAGGTGCTGAGGTGCTGACGAAAACCGTAGATACGGTTATCGGCCTAACTACGGTAACCGTAGCTACGGTTACCAATCCAACTAAGATAACCATAAATACCGTTACCAGTCCAAGCCCATTTTCACGAAGGAAAGAGTTTTTTAAGAAAATAGCGATTCTTTATAAAGGTTGACGAAAGTAAATCGGGGTCGAAGAATCCGAATCTGTAGTTAGTCTTTCAATCTGAGTTTTCATCGGTTAGAAAATGGACCAATCAGAAACGAGCTTTTTTATTTTGAGGCTTTTCGAGCTTTTGATAAAACTTTGCAATAGGTTATCCATATCGAGGAATTCGAATCTGAGGTCCTTTTTTCAATGTGAGCTCTCATTGGCCAGAAAATAGACCAATCGGAAATGACCATTTTTATATTAAGGCATTTCCATCTTTTGATAAAACTTTGCAATAGGTTATCGATATCGAGGAATTCGAATCTGAAGTCACTTATTCTGTCTGAGCTTTTATTGGTCAGAAAATGGGCCAATCGGAAATGAGCTTTTTTAAAGTAAGGCTTTTGGATCTTCTGGTAAAACTTTGCAATAGGTTATCGATATCGAGGAATCCGAATCTGAGG